TATGATGTATAGTACGTATTCTGAGTGAACACTCAGGATTACGGGCACAGCTATACAAAATTGGACGTGCGGATTCAGACGAATTTAAAGCATGTAGAAGGGACAGTGAAACTCTGGACCACTTTATTTGTCATTGTCAGGCTTTCGACGAAATTAGATCCAAATATCTCGGGGTGATATTATTCCGGATATAACATAACACTTACAAACACTGATTGGAAAATTCTTAGGAATTAGGTCCAAGAAGCTAAGTTTCTGAATGCATCAATTACCCATCCAGCTTTAAGGAAAAAGAAAAATTAAACATCTTTTTACGGATTACAACAATTAATATTTCTTTCTGTTTACTTTACAACAAAATTAAACGAAGTACTTCCAAAAGAATAACATTTATCACCACTTCAAAAGTAGCGCTAAGTGAATTTGTTTTTACCTTCAGAGGAAGTTCCGAAGAAACGAAAATAATTCTGTTATTTCTTGGCTTTTGTATTAAATGTGTCTATTACCCTTATTAATGTTAATATTATTTAAGTCAAATTAGTTGTATTATATAATACTACAGTTTCACTTCCGAAAGACTTCCAAAAAATACCATAAAAATAACATCTTGAGAATGACTTTAGAAGTAGTGAATTTGGAATAAAAAAAGGACAACCCTCCTATAACAAGTCTGTGTTAAAATCATCACTTCTTCAGGTCTTTTTCAGTACTTCCATGAAGTAAATTCTACTTCTTTTTCGCTTCTTTGGAAGTTCTTTTTATGCTGGGTTATCTCATGACTTTTCCTTATAATTTCATTGAATTTTTTAATATACAACTTTTACAGTAATCTTCCCACCTTAATTTCTTCAAGTGTATATAATGATTTAAAGATTACCTTATCGCTAACACTGGATGTTTTATGTTTCTGTTACTTTTCTGTGTGTCTTATACATACAAACACTTACCCTCAGATACATAAAAGAAATATAAAAAAAGTGTGTATATGTGTGTGTATTTGTTAAAAATTGTATAACAAAAGCATTTTAATGGGGTTTTATGGGAACAAAAACACACGCATGTTTGAACAAAAACTCTCAAGTCCTATGATAAATGTTAATATTTCCTACTCACCGCTTCCAATTCCAAAAAACAACAACAAAAATATATAAAGTTTTGTTGAATGAAATTTAACCCAATATACAAAGCTGTGTGGCTTGATCAGGCTGATAATGAAGATATTAAAAAGAAAATATTAAGACTGCAAATAGCTAGAGAATTTTCAGAATATGTATGCAGAGAGAAATTCATAGTTGGATACAGTCTCGTCTATAATTCTAATATGATTCCAAAAAAATAACATACTTTTAGCTGTTGAAACCAATATGTTGTTAAATGCATCATTCAAATGCCTGTTGCGAACATATACATACATACATATGTTTGTATGTATATGTCACTGTATGTTTGAATTATAAATTAAATAAAATATCAATAACATAATTTGATTACAAAGTCCAGGCTATTCTACAATTTCCAGTAACAATATTAAAATGATTGCTGTATTCATGTCTATTTGTATTTTATTTCTGGGTGTAATTTTGTTAAAACAATAAAATGTTTGTTGGTTTTAAAGGTTTTTTGGTTATTTTTTTAACAGCAGGTTGATTTTGGCGTTTACACTCAAACATATTTGGGCCAGTAAGGGAATGCTTATATGTATGTGTTATTGTTTCTTTTAAAGACCTTTATTCTCTGGCTGGCAAATGTTTATGAAAAAGCGTTCAGGCGTTTATTTGTTCATTTCAGTTTCAGTGGCATATTTACTGAGTTTTTTGTTGGTTCTTTTGTATGAAATCAGGGTATTTATTCTCTTTAACATATAAATATATAAAGCTCAATATTTTCGTAAACTTTGTGTATGTATGTTTTATATACCCCCTTCAAACATACCGCTTTACATGCATACATTGTGTGCAAAATACACAAAAACCTCCCAGAAGTTTGACGAGGATCTGATGTTTAGACTTTTAGACCATATATTTCACAAATAAAATTTTATATATATTTGGACGATTTGGTAAACTAGAAGGGAAATTTGATTAGAACTAACCTATTGCAGAGTTAATGGTCCATTTATGTGTGGGCAACTAATACCGCAAACTGCAGGGTTATTATAAGTGTATTTCTATCTGAAGGTATGTTAGTTTATTTTTCGTTTGCTTTGCTATTGTTGTTGTTATTATTGTTATTGTTGTTAGCTTTAAAAACCCAGAGAAAAGCCATAAATCAAATAAAATTTATACGCTTTCATCTGCTGAATTTGCAGAAAAAAACTTTTTTATGTAAATCTTTACACAAGCAAAATCCAAAATTCAAACTCCCCTTGCTAATGGCGCTCCCCACCGCCTTGTCCTTTGAATAACGTTTAGTATATAGTATGTTGTAGGAATATGGCTACAAATATCAGCCAGCTGATAGTGGAAACTGGGTAATTGTGCTATGTATTGTTATTGTCCTTATTTTTGTACATAGAGCAAGGCAAAGACACACAAAACAGAAAAATCAATAAAAGGGCCTGTTAAGAGACGTTGAAAATAAATGAAATACGAGCTCATACTAATACTTTATTTGCTGTTTGGGTTCTTTTTGGAAAGGGGGCTACGGGAAAACTCTTAAGAGTAATAGAGTGATAATAATGGCAAAGATTTAAGGATTTTTTGTTCTTTAAATTACTTTTTCTTAGGCAAAAACTATTTGATATAGCAAAAGGTGTTTGTTTTTTTAATTAGAAATTTTCTAAGTAATTTAAAGTTTAGAAGTGTTAAATTTGTAGCTAAACTATAATTGTCATTGTTGTTTCTAGTTGCTTAGTTTTAATAGTTTTTGGCAAGCAATTGAATTACTATTACAATGGCACAGGTTTATAATAACTTTAATTTCTTATTTACGCCAATTAAAGTTCTAACTTCCATTTTCATAAAATTTTTCTTTAATTTACGATTTAAAAGGAAACCCTTAAAAACATACAAAACTCCAAAAACACCAATAAATGTAATAAATTGATTTAATTCAATTTGCAAACAATTTCATAGACCTTTTTTTGTTTTGTATAATTTTTTGATATAAAAACCACACACTCACACACAGGGCAAAGGAAAAATTTATTAATTTTCTAATGGATGGCAAGTAAGTAATGTTTGGTTGTTGAAGATGGTAAGAATGAATGAAGGGCAGATATATTTATAGGAAATCTAACAATGATGGAGGCAATTTTTTAATGTAAATGCTTTTTTTATATAAACGATTGGTAAGCAATTTCTCTAAAATACACAGATACATTTAAACAAAAACTATAAAAAAACTTGGGTTCTTTAACAGAATAAAATAATTTATTGTTTATTACCAGTAAATGTTGTTGGAAAATTAATGTATTTCTGTGTGTGTGTGTGTAGTATATGTAGAAAATATTGTCATATGTAATATTTAATGTGTATAAAATCAACATAAATTTTCTACAAATAAAAGAAAATAAATGACAATATTTTTGTTCTAGACAGTTAAACTTCTTGCACTTACTTTAGATTTTATAAAGATTTTCTTAAGGTTTACCCAGACATGTTTTTAATAGTTTTTATAATTTACCACAATATGTAATTTGTAAAATGTTTATGCAACAAAAAAAGCTTTTAAATAAATTACTTTACTACAGAAATAGTGAGATTTTTAATAAAAAACAAGAAAAAATAGCAAAAAAAAAAAAAAAAAAGAAATATTTTAAGCCTTGATAAAAAAGACATTATAAATGACAATTAAATATTTATGTAACATGTTATTCATTCCCTCTCTTTATCTGCCTTCTTAGCCTGTTTAAAATTGTTTTTTTTTTCGCAAATTGTGGCAATTTAATTACAACAAATCACAACATTATGATTTACAAAGTGTTAATAAGTTTTGTAATGTTAATAAAAATGGTAATGGATTTATTTATGTTTGAATATATGTATGTATGTATAGATAGAGTTGTACATTGAAACATTTGTATAGAAATTGTGTAAAAATGTTTGTCTTTTTTGTTGTAGTCGTTGTGAAATATAAATATTGTAATGCATGCGTGTTTTTAAATGATTTTGTTTGAGTAACACCAACAGCACAACAAACATTGAAAAAAAATTGTTTAATTAATTTATAGTATTTTGTTATGAATTATTTTTAAATCAGTTTTAAATTTATAATTACAAAATGTAGATATTTCTCTGTTAAATTGCGTGTCAATGGCTCATATTAATAATATTTTTCTCTAGTTTTATTATTTTTATGATTTACAAAGGCAAATAACTATTTTGTTTTTTTTTTTATAAAAAATGTTATTACAACAAACGCCTTATTAAAATAAAAATTAAGCCAAATATTTGTTTTTCTTTAAGAAAAATATTATTCAACCTAGAGTTGTGTTTGTAATGAGATAGGTTCTCATGCACATGCATTTTGTTTGTAGTATATTTATTTTAAAATAATTGTTAACTAATAGAAACATCTATAACAAACACATTTACACAGTTTTTGGTTTACCTCCTTATATTAGGTTTAATTTAATCCTGGGCTCTCTCTTTCACTCTTTTTCACTTTTTTCAACATCTTACGTATGAGACTTGTGATTTATTTAAAAAAATTAAAATTCTTAACTTAAAATAATAATTAATTTTAGAATAGTATTAACTATTCATAGACAAAAATGATTGAACTAAAAAATTCAAAAAAGCTTTTTTCAACTCTAAAAATAAGCCAATTTTCTCTTAATTCATAGCAAAACTCAAAAATATTTTTTTTATTTAAATTCCCAATGCAAAAATCAAAATCTTTTCAAAATTTTGTGTATTGTAAATATAAAAATATATGACTTGCAACTTATTTCAAAAAATAAATAAATAAAAATTATTTCTTTTCTTTTTTTTTCAAAAATTATAAAATAAAAAATTTTTCAAAAAATAATAATTGTAATAAAAAAAATGTTTACTTACCTAACCAATCTGGTAGAAGTGAGCCCGCAAGAGATTCTGAATATCTCTTACCTAAAACGAAATATAGAGAAATAGAAAGAAATATAATAAATATGTGAGAAATTATAATTGGAGGCTGAAAATAAGCTAAACTGATAAGTTACACCATTTCCCCCTAAATGTTTTAAAAATTTATTGAAAAAAAAATAATAATTAGAAAATATCTTAAGTAAACTGAAAAGCCAACATTTGGCTAAATGGCTTTCTATTAGAGGAATATGTATTTGAAATGATCAAGAGAAAGTCTTTACATTTTATATGAAAAATTAAATTTTGGACACTATGTATATCAAATGAAAGGCATTTTAAAAGCCTCTCCAGAATAGTTTTAAAAATTCAGCTTAAGAAGAATATATTAACATATAAATATGTTTAGTTATCAGCTGAATTCAACAATTCTTACAACATAAGAAAAATTATTTTTCTTTTAAGAATTTAGGAAACAAAATTGATTTTAAAATTTACAATTTATGGGAAATGGTGTAAAATAAAAAATTAAAAAACTAATAGTATAAAAATGCCCTCAGATTTAATATCTAGAATAAAAATTTGTTTTTAAATTTGCAATTTTCGTACAAATTTAGAAACCAAAAATGTCTTCCAAGATATGAAATCAAAGGTAAAAAATAAAAATAATAAAGTTAATTTTGTTAGTAAAAATAAAAAAGGCCAAAAAACTTAAAGCAAATAAAATAATTTTCTTTAAAAAGAATATTTAAAAAACGTTATTGAAAATCATAACAGAAAAAATTTTGACACATTTTTTTTAATTAAATAAAAATCAACAAATTATGTTTGTAAGCAGAAAATCAAATAAACGGGAAATGTAACAACAAAAACAAAAAATTAGATATTTTTAAAATGTTTTTGATTAAGAAATTTTCCACTTAGTTTTTATTAAAATTTAATATAAAATTTTTGTAGATTAAAAAGTTTATAGAGTATCTGCATGCTAATATTTTTTATATAACATTTATGTAGTTTAATAAAATCATTAACAATTATTATGAGCAAAAAGCTGACACTTAAAATAATTATTCACTACAACAATAAACACATGTTGACATTTACAATAAAAGAAAATTTCATCAAATAAAAAAATGCAGTTTCTTTTATAATATTTTAGGGAGGGGGTAAATTATAAAAGGGAAAAAAACTTGTATAATTATGTACAATATAAGCATAATTTATGTTTAAGTAAATTTATGTACGAATACTTGTTTATGTAAGTAAGTAAATAAACATATGTTCATTATTATAAATAATACAGACAAATAAACTGCTGGATAAATTTAGTAGAAATGGCAAAATTTTAACAATTGTATAAAATACGTGACATTAAGAGTGATTGTTATTGTTGATATTTTGTCAAATGAAAACAAATAAATAAACAATTACACACTTAAGTGATTCTGCGGCTCGTAAATGTACACAAAACATTCATACATATCTATGTACATACGTATAGTATGGTCTCATCACACTCTATCTCTTTCTTGACACTCACACTCACTTGTTTTAATAATGCCACTTACAGCAAAACAATACAACAGCAATAATAACAACATTACAGTTAAACAATAAAATTTGCAACATGGTTAAACATATAAGGCAACAGCAACAACAAGAACAGCATCCTCGCAGACACCATTATATGTATGTATATCTGTATGTGTGTGTAATATAAATAAAAGCTTTAACATCAACACCAAATGAGATATGAAAGGATATAAAATCTTGTTTGTATGTACGACTGTATTTGTTGTTATTTTTCTCTTCTTTTTGTAACCATTTTTTGCTTTTAAAAGAAAACCAGTAAAAGGATTTTCATATGAATAAATGTGTGTCTGTGTAATAAATTTATTTTATAAATACATTTATTTTATTTGTTTTAATGCTTTATTTTTGTTTTTCTTTAAAAATACAAAAAATAATAATAAATTTCTGTTCTATTCTTATCACAGTGAAATAAATTTTCTTTAGTTCAGCATAAATTTCAAAATCAAATTAAACTTATATTTTAAAGTTTAACTGTTTGTTTTTTCTCGATTTATTCGCTCTACAATTATTTAACACTTGTTTCAACAAACCCTTTTCACACATCATGAGAAGGGGAGGAGGCACAACAAATGTTTATTTATTTACTCCTTATTGCTGCTGTATTTTTTGAAAGGGGGAAATACAACACTACCAATATCCTGCTACCACCTTAACATTATTTTACGCATGTATTCATACATACATACGTATCTAGTTATGTATGTGTGAAAAATGTGTGTTTGTATGTATTTCTTAAATATTGTAGACAGGGTATTACTTTAATTTATTTATTGGCATTTCATTGGCGAATTTATGCATACATTTCGAAGCCAATGTTATAAATTTAGTAAAAATGTGAAAATTGTGCATTTTCACAGCATGACTTGCTGCTGATAAATTTTTAAGCATATAACAGCAGCAGCAATGGCAAAAAAGGGATTTTCATTATAAAATATCACACGGCAGCATAATATGGATGACATGCCGCCATATGAAAAAAGATATGTACATACATATGTATGTATGTATATAAAACTGTTACACATATGCACATTTGTATATTTATTTAAATGTGTGTGATGTTAACCCCAAAAAATGCTACAAAAATTTTAAAATAAGTTTGCAAAAAAAATCGGCCGTTTACTACTGCATCATTTAAAATCAAGGAAAAAAGTTCTTTAAAAAACTCATGACAAATAGTGTGAGCCGTAAAATATGAGACTGCATACATATGCATGTATGTATGCTTGTACATTTTGGTTCTAGCCTGATACACATACTGCAGATGTTTTAAAGAATCAATTCACCCCACTATAGTGGGGAGGGTATTATGCGTTCGTGCTGATGTTTGTAACACCCAAAAATATTTGTCCTACACCCACCTTATAGTATACCAATTGGCTCAGTATCACTTTCTGAGTCGATTTAGCTATGTTCGTCCGTCTGTGTGTCCATGTAAAATTTGTGTGCACCCTACAGGTCGAAATTTTCAAGATCATTTGATGAAATTTGGCATATACTCTTCTTGACCCAAGGAAGCCTATTCAACCCTACCCCCGAATAGGGCTTTTCTGCACATAATTTTGTGAAATGTTCTTGTATCACTGCAAAAATCGGCAAACCTTAGTTTTATATAAGTCTTAATGATATTGCTGATTTTCGTAATGATGAGGCCTCATTTGAGATCCCCATTGAAAATGACTTGATGGTCAAAATTCACTTATAAACACTAATATCACGATGATAATCTGCATAAATAACTGACGTAGACGTATATTCTTCAACCAAAATTTATAAGGATAGGACCATATTAATTTCCTGCCCCCATATAACCCCTCTTTTAGAAAATACCTTCTTTGTCAAAAATTGTTAAAATATTTCTGAATTAAGATAAAAATTAAATTAAATACTTTATTATTAAAAAAAAATAATCAACATTTTTAACAAAATCACTGGTCGGCCATGCCCGACTATAAAATCTTCTGATTTTTTAGATTATTAACTGGAGTGAAAAAATTACTTTTAAACTCTGCCAACAATATGACTATGAGTTTATTACATTAAAGTACCGCACAGATACACACATGTGTTTGTTGTATATTGTACATATTTATATATGAATGAATGTATAGAATTTAAATCGTGCGACTTATGGCTGAACGTTAGTGATTTATTTGCATATAAATGGTGCCATACCGAAAATATTTATAAAAGATGGTCATAAACATTAAAAACCAAAAATAAATTTCAAAATAAATGCCAAACAAGTTCTGTAAATAAATCTAAATAGAAATTAAAAGCATCAATAAGACTTTCAAGCGAAAAAAAACGGTAATTTCTTAAAACATTTATCAAACTCCAAAAAGAAACCCCAAATTAGAAAAAGTATGAGTTTTAAGCCAACATTTTGTTTTTACTTGAAATTTATGTAAATTTTACATGTTTCACTTAAGACAAAAACGCTGGCAAAACTCACCCACATAGGGGGTGGTTAAATTTTTTCCTTAGTAGTTGAGTTCCTGAACTTTTTTCTTAAAGATGTGGCAGGTAGTATGCATAAGTTAGAAAAAAATATAAGATTGTGCTATTATTTAAAACTTTATAAAATGCGCACACCTGACGCATGTTCTTTTCTTGTTTTTTTGTCGTTCTTTTTATTCGTTTTGTGTGTGTTTGTGTTATAGTTGCACTAAAATATATTTAAAGATACCTTGATAGTACTTCATCGTGTTGTTCTTTTTTTTATATTTTGTGTTGCAAATAATTTTTTCTTTATACCCACGTTTATGTTCTTGCTGATTTCTTTACAATTTCTTTTCTCTTCTCTGTAGTTTTTTTCATGTTTGTGTGTTTTTGTTGATTCTTTCATATTTTAGACCGTTTAAAACAAATAAATTTTCTGACATTTTAAAAGTTATTAGATTAGCATTATGTTCCTGTTGTTGTGCTTGTGTTTAGATATGAATTCTTTGGTATGTTATTTTTTGGCGAATTTTTCATATTCTGCATACACTTAAAAAAATTATAGGGATATTATAATACATATAATATTATAATTTAAAATTAAATAAATAAATTTGAAATACATACTTCAATTTTTTAACAGCGATTTTGTAAATATATTTTAAAATACATATATCCATAAATCAGTATTTCTTTAAGTGTATTTTATTTTATTTACAGTAGCGGTGGCGTTATAGCCATATTAAAAGCATATTCTTTAAAACAAATTGTTGTCGTATGGTTTAAATTTGAAAAATTATTATTTAGTTAGCCAATAACTTTAAGGTAACATGTGTTGAATTTTGAATAATTTATAAAAAGAAAATTTACATATAACATTTCTTAAAAACTTTCAAACACCCAAAAACTTCTAATTACTTTTAATTATTAAAGTTTAACTTGTTTAGAAATAAAAATGTATACATATAATTCATAAAATTAAAGTTTCAATCAAAAGATTTTAGGAAATA